TAAATATTAATATCTAGAATTCGGATAAACCAATTTTCAAACAACTTAGATATTTATAATCTAATTGTTAAGATGAATACTTTTGATCAATAATGTATAACAAAGAATTGATCTCTAGAGAGTTATAGACAAAAGACTTTTGGCCCCTCTTAGCCCCTAATTTGAAGGGTCAGCCCTATTTTTTTTATATCAAATGAAAGGTCTTGCGATATTGAACATTTTGTCTTCAATATGTTTTAACAAATTATGAACAGGAGTGAAGATATGAGACAAAATATGTCAAATTTTGTGAGATATTTCTGAGACATTTTTTTGGCCCCACCGAACTTTGTTGCCTTTTGCGCTAGAAAGATTTGGAGACCCAATTACAACTCACCAAACCTTTCTCTATTTTCCCTGAAAATCTCAAGTCCATATCTTAAGTCGTTTCGGAGGAGTTTCCCGGACAAGCCGACCCTCTAAAAATCACAAAATCGTCCATATCTCACGACCGGAAGTGAGATAATCAAAAACGAAAAAAACCTATCAAGACCAATTGAATATCTTTCAGATCTGAAAGTTTGGTAGAAATCGGACGAGCCATCTCTGAGAAATCGCTTGCACAAAATCGGTTGGAAGAATAATAATAATAATAGGGAAAAAGAAACCGAACGAAAACAAGAAGGTCTTCCGTTGGAGACGGAAGACCTTAATAATAGGGAAAAAGAAACCGAACGAAAACAATAAGGTCTTACGTTGGAGACGGAAGACCTTAATAATAATAATAATTAAGGTAAAAAAGAAACCGAAGAATAATAGAAGGGTCTTCCGCTGAAGACGGAAGACCCTAATAATAATAATAATAATAAAAGTGAAAAAGAAACAATAGAATAATAGTAGGGTCTTCCGTTGGAGACGGAAGACCCTAATAATCTTTACCAACAGAATCAGTAGAAGGTCTTCCGTTGGAAACGGAAGACCTTAATAACACATTCTGTTAATTAACACAATTAACTAGTTTATTGAGTTTAAAATAATTATGATAACTAAAGTTGTTTGTTTGTAGAAATTTCAATTAATACACGGACACGTTGTATTGTACTGACCTCTCTATAATTCAGAATAGAAATTAGAATTGACTCCATTGAAATGAAGGAAAAAGACTGGTAATTTTGTGTACAAACTTTGAAAACATGGATATTTTTAATAAAAAAGGATTTAGAATAGAAATAAATTGTCGCTCATATTCATGGGATTAAATACACTACAAATACGGATAGTAAATCTAATGTCTACTCGTCAAGATATCAAAAAGCCAAATTTTTAAGTTAGTATTAGTTTTATTAAAATGTTAGGTGTTATTTCAATAGTGATTAAAATGTGGTGTTTTGAAACGTATTTTTAACTTCAATAAAAATATTCATTCCCAAGTAGTCGTAAATGATTAATAAACAAGAAATCTGTGAGCTAATGCTCACTAGTAATACCCCCGCTCTGATGTAAATAAGCACTATCATGTTAATATACACAAGTTCAATTACAGGCAGACGCACAGAAAAATATGAAGTTGACATCAGATTCATATCAAAATTAATCCCACCATAAGAGCATGCCTCAACAAAGAGTGTAATAAAATTTCAAGCATCCGCTATGAATAGCTAATGAGAAAACTGCGACAAAGATTTGTTATGTATGAAACGGACAAACACACAGACAAACAGGAAGTTGATATCCGATTTGAGTGAAAATGTATCCCACCATATGGCATGCCTCAGAGAAGATTGTGCTAAAATTTCAAGCATCTACGATGAGTAGTTGCTGAGAAAACTGCGACGAAAATTTGTTATGTATGAAACGGAGAGACGCACATACAAACAGGAAGTTGACATCGGATTTGAGCGAAAATGTATCCCACCATATGACATGCCTCAGATAAGATTGTGTTAAAATTTCAAGCATTTACGATGAGTAGTTGCTGAGAAAACTGCGACGAAAATTTGTTATGTATGAAACGGACAGACGCACAGACAAACAGGAAGTTGACATCGGATTTGAGCGAAAATGTATCCCACCATATGGCATGCCTCAGAGAAGATTGTGTTAAAATTTCAAGCATCTACGATGAGTAGTTGCTGGGAAAACTGCGACGAAAATTTGTTACGGACGGACACACGGACACACAGACACACGGCTGGACAGACAGCACACAAGGGTAAAACAGTATACCCCCCTCTCCTTCGGAGCGGGGGTATAAAAAAGCCATTAATCCTTGTATTTCGAATAATTAATTTATTTCAATATGTCTTGCAATGCGGTTTAAGTATTTATTATCAGCAACCATCAATTTGAAAATAGTTATTTAAATCACTTTTGATATTATTACTTCAATACTATTTCAATACTATTGAAAACTTTATTTCAAATGTGATCATTATTTCAATAGTGCTTGCAACCTATTTGGAATTTAAATGCACTCCAAACCACTATTGAATTACTTCAATAGTGGTCGTATTTCAATAGTGGTTGCAACTTATGCTTGTTATTAATATAATGAAATGCATTCTCAACAACTATTGAAATAATTATTTCAATAGTCAGGTCGTATTTCAGTAGTGGTTGTATACAATTTTTGTTATTGAAATGCACTCTCAACCTCTATTGAAATAATTATTTCAATAGTGGTTGCATATGTTTGTTATTGAAATGCACTCTCATCCACTATTGAATTAATTATTTCAATAGTTTTCGTATTTCAATAGTGGTAGCATACATTGTTTCTTATTGAAATGCACTCTCAACCACTATTGAAATAATTATTTCAATAATGGTCGTTATTTCAATAGTGGTTGCAACACATGACAGTCTACTACATGTTTACGATTCAATGGCGACACGTGGTTTTCGTCGGTTTACTGCACAATATTTAACTCGTCACCGGAAAAACTGTAGAGTTTCTTTATCACTTTATAAGACCGAAATTGAAGATTATATTCTAAAGACATTGCTTCATGCTCACATTTAATACTGGAGTTATTTTAGATGATTAATAGTTGCTTCGAATACCGTACAAACACTTTGACGTTTGCATGTACATAAAACACTCCTGCTGTCTAAAACCAGTGACCTATATACTACCTGCTAAAACTATGTACACGTATATCACGTGAAAAACTGAATGTTTTATCGACACGATAGCACATACGTCTCTTTAAACAATGGTTTAGGCCGATGTATTGTAAGTTGATATATAGCAAATTTTGTAAATGTGAGTATAGAAATAAAAGATTATATATCATTTTAAATATTTCTTTCACAAATCTCAAAAAAGAATTGAAAATAAGTTTCCAAGGAATAATTCAAGTTGCCCTTTATTTTCAACACAGCTGGCTACTTGTAGTAGCCCACAATGCATTGCGGTTCATTCTGCAGTAGGTAAAGTAAACAGATTGCTAATTTACATGTAAATTTATGCTGACGTCAGAAAATCTAGTGGTCTCGACCTGTTCATCAACTTGTTAGTCAATTATTTACCTCGTTTTATAGATTGTTCATGCGTAGAGCATGCTCTAGCGTTTCGAATTAACTGAGAGATATAAAATCCAAGTGATGAAGGTAAGTAATAAGTGCATAAGTAAGGGCAGTTGACGATCGAAAAATGAAAGTCATCACGATTATCATAGGTTTTGGGTGTTACATTGATTGTATTATATTGTTTAACGTCTCACTCGAGAATATTTTCAAAAGAAAAGGTTATGTTTCGAAAAAAGTGGGGATGGGTTCCCCCTGTTGCTGTTACAAACATGAATTGATTTTAAAAAAAGATATTTACATCTTACATATGTCACATATATGATTTTGTAATTAGATTACGGTCAGCTGTATAATTGTATTACGGTCATCTTTGCACTCTATACGTATAAGTTTAAGTGTTGGTGCATGGGGATTGGGTTGGGGGAAGTTATTCAGAATTTAAGGTTTTCTAAACATTAAAAAGATTGTTAATCAGAATGTTCTTTCCCCTTATAAATCAATAGGCGTTATATTTACTTCCATACAGTGACTCTGTAAAAATATATGTTTTTTATATTTAATGCATATTTAATGCATAAAGTTGCTTATCATTTACTATCGAAAAAACGACAAGTCCCCCCTTTTTTAGAACATCGAATTTTACTTATCGCATAAAAACGTGTTTATATATTCTTAAAATGAATAGATTTTTGAAAATATGTGTTGCATGTGTGTGGTTTCATTTTATATTTTATGCAGTCAACATTTACTTGAGGAATTGATAAAGTTTAAAAGGGTATCGTTGTTTTTCGATTTTCATCAGGCTATAAATTTTCAAAATATTTTCGACTATCGTCTCTATCATTTAGACGCATGCTTTTTCACACATATCGGAGCGGTTTGATGATCGAGACTCATTTCCATTGTTTACTTTATTTATTTTCCGGGCGACGATTGGTGGTTACATCAATGTTTTCTTGTTTATTCACTGGAATGTGTTTGTTACGGTCATCATACTGCAAAATTTCAAAGGCGTTTTTCATTTATTTTCGCTTGTTCGGGTAAATAACAACTATACTAGCGTGGAGATATCATCGATGTCCGCTTCATCAATATCTTAAATTACTCATTCTTAATGAATAATGTCAAAAATTTTCAACCGATCGGCTCGGCCGGCATGTTTTGATGATCGTAATATATATATTACGGACATCGGCTTTCCTACAGTAAAAAATGATACTCCTATTAGTCACTATAAGGAAATATTACACATGAAACGTTATAATAAAAATTACATATAGACATTCAAAAGTTTTCCCTTGATAACGTTTTGCAACCACAAAATAATCGATTAAAGAGATTTGAAGTTTATTTTATTATCGCTCCATAAAAATACATCAAATATTTATACAAATGTAAAATTTAAGCTCCATATATGTGTATATTTATCTCCATAACATATATTACAAGCATTGTATTTGTTAGCTGATTTTAAAGGTTTTAATGCATACCTGAACCGTTACAAGGTGCACTGGATGATGACTGCGTAGAATGGAACTGAGCAGCTGGCATTGTTCTTCTACATTCAAAATTCTGACAGAAAAATAATGCTGTCTTGCCAAAGGTAATTCTTCTTGGGGAGCAGCCATCGACTGAAATAAATGAAAAAAACGTTTGAATTCTTCAGAATGAATTCTTCTGTCGCAATATGAATCAAATGTATTGCAAAGATGAAACTAAGACATAATGCAATGAATCGGGCATGTAATAGTTTTAAATCTGGTAAAGAGCTCATGCTAAATACAATCATTATTATATATACTGTCGAATAAACTGATTCATAATTCTATTGATTGTACGTCCGGTTTGAAAATAATTTACTTCATCTACCGGTATAGGGATTCAAAATTTGACTTTGATTCGGCACTCAAAAATTGATCATTTCTGTATATCTTCATACGGAGCTCTTCTTCGAAAGGAGATCAAAATAGTCTGAAAATGGCCACAACCACCCAACCCCTTTCAATTACATAAAAATTTTAATTTATCATACAGTCAAGGAAAAAGAAACATCTCAAGAATTAAAATTAATTATTTTACAAACCTTGTTTGCAGATAACATGTAGTGCTGTGCTCCATTCTCCGTCCCTGTGGTTCAGATTAACACCTTGTCCTATAAGAAAGTCTGCAATGCGGTAAAATCTTCTTTTCAGAGAGGATATCAAAATGGAATCTTTTCCATTTGCAGGATCCTTTAAATTTGCACCTTTAGATAGAAGGTATTTCACATGTTCTTCCGCAGTGTCTTCAGAAGAGTTTGAGATTGCCATGCTGAGAAGCGAAGTTCCTATCTGACTTTCGATCGTTTTCACTGACACCCCCCAGTCAATAAATGCAAGTAATTGATCTGCAAGAAAGAGATACATAGGACAAAATCCAGGAATAGTTATATACACAAATACACCGGCCACCAATGCAAGAATATGAGACATTGTTTTAATCAAAGAATATTTACATTACAATACAACATTTTAAAATTCTTGGAACTGAAATAAAAGTTGTATCTTTTAAAGAACTATTTTTAAAAATTGCTTAAATTTTCAAGTATGTTATGTAGAATTTTTATAAGTATTACATTTTTTCAATGAAGAATACAAGTGTTTAGAAGAAAGATAACTCCTCACATATATATATAATTTATTTTTCTTACAACACATACATGTACCACATGTTGTGATATTAGGAAGCAGCGCTTTATGATGTTTTCTAACATGGTTTTAACAGGTAGGATACTAAGTATTATTTTCATATACACCTCCTATTTTAAAATGTATTTTGTGATAATAAAACGTTACTCTTACTGTTCTTCGTGTAACATTTCTTCACAATCTGTCATTATGATCTGACATAAAAATATTTCTGAAAAATTAAGCAGCATCAAACTATTTCCCATGTGGCTCTAATGTTATTGTTGTTAATTAAAATCAATACTAGAAATTTTAAATTTTCTAAATGAAATTTGTTTCTTCAAATGCTCGGCAGGCTCACCGCGCTAGTTTTTGCTTAGTTTGCTAAAGAAGAAACTTCCACATCGGCTGGTCGTGCGAGGGGGTGCAGCACAGATGTACGCCATCTGGACCCAGATAGTTTAAAAGTGCATGGACACAGATTTGAAATTAATGTTTTCTGTATAATATTACGACTTAGTTATTCTAATAGCAATTCACGCAAAAATAAATTAAAAATCTTATTTCATCTAAAAGTTATTAAATTTTTTTAGGCGGGTTTGATTGACACATCCTTCCACTTTCACAAATTTTAATTTTATTCTTAATACTTAGGAAAAATGGCAATCTTGTTGTGTATAAATGAAAAATATTAAAACTGTAATCCAGAAAACGCAGAGTAGAAATCTTGTTGTGAGCAGACTTTAACAATATGAACACACCTGGTGAATCGTAAACATCAATAATAACAGAGCTCGTGCCCTGTTTACAAAAAATTTGTACGTTTCACGACTGTGATCAATTTGCCAAACTCTATACACAACACTTAGCTCGGAATGAAGTTGTTTTGCTTTTTCACATTTCTACTCTGAATATAATTATTTTTCTAGATTTAAGTTTTAATATATTTCATTAATACTCAACAAGATTGAAACTTTTCCTAAGTATTGAGAATAAAAGTAAAATTTGTGAGAGTGCAAGGATGTGTCAATCAAACCCATCCAAAAAGTTTTAATAACTTTAAGATGAAATAAATTTTTTAATATATTAATTTTTGTGTGAAATGCTATTAAAATATATAAGCATGATATTATACAGAAAATATTAACATAAATATAAAATTCTTGGATTTCTTTAGGAAATATCTTCGAAATATACGTGATTCCAAAAATGCTGTGGTCAGTGCGGGAATAAAATACAAGTGATCCGCTCAGCTGACCACGTGATCCTAGCCCGCTAATCATTGGCTTGAAATTTCGCATTCCACCGGCGTGAATATTACATAAACCATCTCACACATGTAAATACAACGTATTTAATACATAAACAACGCGTTTAATACATAAATTCAATTATAATCAAAATTGCTGTTTTATAGCAGAGGACCAGGACCCTTTAAATGATGATTAATCGATTTTTATGAAAGAAAAATATTCAGTCGGTGGAAGTATATGAAAATTAACATACATAATATGGAACATTTTAAATCAGAAAATGTAATAATTTGGACTGGAATGAGTAATAGCTAATAAATTGTATATCCATTAAGATCCGAGGTTATCAGCACTGATTATAGGGCATAAATATCCACTGTTTTCTAGACTCGTAAAGATACGAACTCTATATGAATCTCTGTATCGATTAGAAATGAAATACTTACCTATGCTTTTACAAAATTCAATAGCTGTCTTTCCGGGACATCCTCTGTTAATATCAGCACCAGCCTGAAGGAGCGACTTTATCACATCTCGACTGGCATTACCTTCTAAGGCAAATTCAATCACAGAATATCCAGTGCTGCGGTCCATTTCGTTTGGACTAGCTCCCAAAGCTAGAAACTCGGGAATTAGTGTAGGGCATCGCCAAGCAGCGAGACAAAATGTAGAAATCCACATTTTTTTTGGATAATGTAATTTAATCGAACCGGAAATGTCCACACCTGCACGCATCAAAACAGTTGCATTTTCTGTTAAACCACGTGAAAGAGCAAGGTGAATTGGGCGTTGCCCACGCCAGATTTCGTTTTTATTTGCTCCGTGGTTTATAAGTATTTGTATCATATTATGATATCCACATTGCATGCTTACCCACTGAATTGCTTTGAGAGAGTTTAGATATCCAAAGTTCACATCTCCTCCAAGTTGACAAAGAATGTCTGCTAACTCGCACCTATTTAGGGAAACAGCTTTCAGTAATACAGTAAACCCATCCCCTTGAATTCGATTGATATTGAATTTTCCTTTTGATGCGAGACATTCGATTAAAACTTGCGCTTCCTTTTGATTTTCTTCAAATGAATCTGCCACAAAAGAGAGCATATCATTTCCATTGTTCGAAAAAGTATGAAGGAAATCGACATCACTGCATTCCTCTAGAATAAACTTCATAACATCTAGATTTTTGTTTCCACAAGCGTAATGAAATATATTCGTCCCGTCCAGTTTGTTGATGTACAAGTCCCCGCCATATTTTACCAAAATTTTCAAAATGTCAGAGTTTTTAGCACAACAAGCCAGATAAAGTAAAGGTGTCTCTTCTAAGCTTCCATAAAGTGTATAAGATTTCTCAAAAACATCATTAATATTAAAGTCCGTAGGAAGGGAAACACATATCTGCTCAAGTTCTTCAACATTTTCTTCCATAACAGCTCTGATTAACTTTCGCTCAACCGCACTGAACTGAGGTGAGACCATGGACTCCATTTTATTCAAGTCTCTCTGTGCTTTTTGTACTTCAAACAAGGAAACTGTAAACTTTTTTGCGACGCAGTAAATGTATAGCTACTCATACAAGACTTTACTATACTTTTAGATAGATTAAATCGAAAGTAGATGGACAGAAGCTAATAGATATATATAAAGGGGTACATCTTACGTTTTTTATCCAAATTCGTACCCAGCAAAATAGTCCTGATAACTGAATATCTTGTATCAATTGGTTCAATGCATAAAAAGCTCTATCAGAGTTATGGCGTCATTTCCAAGTATTTTGTTAAAATGGAAAGTACGTATTACATGTAACAATAAATAGATCTAGTTGGTAACCAGCCAAAAATATTTAAAGCTCATACTCGGAAACGTATAACCACCTCGTGATGTGTTTTCAAAATGGCAAATATATAAAATGTATATAACGTCAAATTCTGTCGACTTTTTAGGAAGATTAGTAAATTACGATGTACTTTGGATGATATAACCTCCCTGTTAAGATTTTAGTTCTTGAATTTGATCATAGCATAATACTCTTTTTTGCTCAGTAACATTTGTTGCAATTAATAAAATGCATAGAAATATTCTTACAGTTTAATATAAGGAGATTGTCTAATATAATTCCATTTATAAGGATTTCACGTCATTTTTTTGTAAACTTCTTTTCTTTTAACAAGATAGTTAACTTTAGTTTTTAGTCTTACGTTTGAGCAACAGTTTAATTTTATTGAAATATAAACATTTTTTTTCTTTCCTTGCCTACTGCTCCTATCAACTGGAAAGCAGACAGAAATATACTGGCGATGCTATATCCCCTCCGCAACTAGTTGCCAAGGGAATAACAAGAATTTTGTGAAATACCGATGGCATTGCATAACGACAGTTAATCTTTTTTCAACTCCAGGGCCCAAACTCCAAGGTCGTGGTAAAGAGAATTAAAAAACCAAAGAAAGGTACTCTCAAAAGGAAAAACCCCCTTGAATAAGTCAGACAACAATCAACCGTCAAAAAGATATAGCCAAGTGAATGTCACGAGAAATATATGTGTAAAATATGAGAGCCCTAAAACCAACCGTTCAGAGGGTTTTTGTCAAAAATTAAAAGTTTCAAACTCCAAAGTCAAAGAGTCAAAATTGTAAGTATCCAAGAGATGGCCTTGCCACAAAGATGTACATGTACATGTGAAAAATGACCTACTTTTAAAAAATAAACCTTGACCATAACTTTTAAAGGGTAAGAGCTAGTGCTTTAATACTTTATATAATTAATCCTTGTGACAAAACCTTTCATTTGAAATCAAGACCTTTGACCCTTTGACCTTGACCTTAGAGTTTGACCTACTTTTAAAAAATCTTAACCTTGGCCATAACTTTTGAACGGTTAGGGCTAGAGCTTCCATACTTCACATATGTATTTTTTGTAGCAAGAGCATTTATTGGATTCAAATAATATTGACTTTTTGACCTTGACCTTGGAGATTTCCGGACTTATGAAAAAACATTAACATTGGCAATTTTTTTTGAAGAATAAGAGCTAGGGCTTTCATACTTCACATATGTAATTCTTGTGACAAGACCTTTCATTCTATACCAATAACCTTGACCTTCTGACCTTGATCATGGAGTTTAACTTACTAGTAAAATCTTTTTAACCTTGGCCACAACTTTTGAATGGATTGGGCTAGGGCTTCCATACTTCAAATATGTGATCTTTGTGGAAAGACCTTTCATTGGATACCAATAACCTTGACCTTCTGACCCTGATCTTTAAGATTTCTGTACTTATGAAAAAACCTTTTGCCTGGCCATAACTTGGGAAGAGATTGTGATAGTGCTTTCATGTTTTACAATTGTATTTCCAGCTAGGAGACCCTCTTTGGGTACCAGTATATTAAATTTGAATCTAAGAAAAGTTTAATTTTCACTATGTTGCCATACGGGGGCATCAGTGTTTCACAAACCACAGGCACCTGAATTTTTATCAATAAGTCGCTTATTAAGCCAAATATCGAAAAATTCTACCCCCTCTATATATAAATACACTATATATAGAGGGGGTAGAATTTTTCGATATTTGGCTTAATTAGCGACTTATTGATAAAAATTCAGGTGCCTGTGCACAAACAAACACATCTTGTCTACCTTGCTCTGCGGCGTGTTTTTGAGTTTTCAAAAAAATCCGTTGTAATTAAATAGCATTCCAAGATAATTAAAATCGTCAACAATATCAACTATATCGTTACCATAGGTCCAATTTTCATTCTCTCTAATCTTACCACCATTTCTGAAAAAAAAAATATTTTTGTCTTTTGAATATTAACTTTAAGATTCCACAGAGTAGCGTAATTACATAATGAATTCAGCATTTGTTGTAAACCCTCTGGACTTTCAGACATAATCACCATATCATCTGCATACAGATGAAGAAACAAACTTATTTATTGTACATCTATACATTGACAATTTTCTTTAATAAATTGCATCTCAAAATCATTTACATATAATGAAATCAATAACGGGGAGAGTGTTTAACCTTGCATTAGTCCGGTATTACTAGTAAAATACTCACTAAATAAGCCATTGTATTTCACACAAAATTTTATACTTTGATACAATGCTTTAATTATTTTAAACATTTTCCTTTGAATACCAATATCAAATATTTTCCTCCACAGTTGATTCCATCTATAGAGTCAAAAGCTTTTTGATAATCGATGAAACAGCAGTATAAACGCTTTTTCTTGCTCAAGTATTTGTTAATTTGTTAACTATTCATTTTCATTTAATCTATATTGTAAATCAGTCACTTTTTCTTCCATCTTTGTCTTTTCTCTCCTCATGTACCCTACCCATTTTGACATGTCTTCGATCATATTTGAATGTCTTCTCATCTCCCTATCGAGCCTCTTTATGTCAGATCTGTCAAGCTGCATATTGAGCTGTTATTAAGTCCTCCGCATTTTTTTCATTTGTCTGAATTAAATTATTCAGGGTATTCGCATTACTTGTGATAGTTTGTTTATTTTGTTCAAATGCTTGGTTCATGAAATCCATCGCCTTTTTTACATCACCCATCCTCTTTTCTACTTCAGCCACTGAGTTTTTGTTACCTTTTTGATCTCAAAGTCGAAATGATTAAGCTTTGTTTCGATCGAGTCAACTTTTTTAGTAGAATAAAATCTGTCCTACGAAAAATAATACACAGGGATCAAAAAGGGTTTATACCAGGTAGAAATATATCAGAAAACACAAGACTGATTTATGATATTATGAACTATACTCAAGTCAAAAATATCCCTGGAATGATTCTTCTTATTGACATTGAAAAAGCTTTTGATACGGTGTCTTGGGATTACTTATTTAGAGTAATGAAATTTTTCAGTTTTGGAGAATCTATTAGAAAATGGGTTCAAGTTTTTTATAAGAATATTACAACAACAATTAATCAAGGTGGTAACTTATTAAGATGGTTCAGTAATGAAAGAGGTTGCAGACAGGGAGACCCAATATCTCCATATTTATACCCCCCGCTTTTTGATCTGACATATATTTTGGATTTTCCAGAGCAAAACATGAACACTGCCATTTTATTCATATGGGAGGCGGGAGGTATCGTTTAGTGAGCTCATTGCTCACAGTAACTCTCGTTATTCTTATTATGTGCAGAAATATTGGCAATAAAATTAAGAGGCAATGAAAAAAATTACAGGTATTAAAATTGGAAATGAAATGCATCTTATATCTCAATTTGCATATGACACATCCCTTTTTCTAGACGAAACTATAAAAACTTTAGAAATAACTCTACAGGAGCTTAATGATTTCAAACATATGTCTGGTTTAAAAGTTAATTATACTAAAAATCAGGTTATTTGGATTAAAAGCAAAAGGTTTTGTGAAGAAAAGTTAATGAATAACACAGAGCTGATTAGTGGAAGTAAATTCTTTCAAGTTCTAAGAATAGAATTTAATGTTGATTTAGAGCAAATGCTAAAAGCAAATTACAACTCAAAAATAAAGTCTATTCAGAGTTTATTAAATCAATGGAAAAGAAGGAATCTCACGCCATTAGGATGAATAACAGTCATCAAGTCTCTAGTTTATCCTTAAAAAACCCACCTAAAATAAACTGGAAAAACTAAATCATATTTTTTTCAATTCTTATGGGATAGCACAGTTTCCAAAATAAAAAAAAAACAGTTGTTACTCAAGAATATGTGAATGGGGGATTGAAAATGGCTAATATTGAACATTTTAATGCAAGTATGAAAATATCATGGATTAAAAAAATCTTAAAAGATAAAGCCAAATGGTAGTCAGTTATTGGATCAGATATTAATATTTCGCAATTGATTTTCTTGCAGCGAGTTAACAAGTATAAAAATCAGTTTAATTTTGGATTGATGTTTTTAAGTCATGGAAACAGCTTTGTTCATGTTATGAAAAGGAAAACATGGCCAAAGAAATGTGCAAAAATGTTTTATGGTTTAATGAAAATATTAAAGTGAATAAAAAGTCTCTTTGTATAAAATCATGGTTTGAAAATAATGTTCATACTAATAATTCGTTGTTGAATGAAGAGGGCAAGTTTATGACCTAAAACAATTTCATTATTGTATACAAAAATGTAAAAACAGACTTTTTAGAATTTTTAAGTGTAACACAAGCAATTAAAAAAATCTATGAGAGACTATTCAGTTACAAACTTAGATAAAGAACAAGAACCTTTTATTCCATTAAATATTATACATCTTGTTTTGGATAATAAGGGAAATAAAAAAAATGCACATAATTCTATATGATAGTGGAGAAAAGTCCACTGGTCAAAAAATGGGATCAGCAGTTTCTAATGTCAAAGCAAGAGTCACTGCTGGTAAAATCCAAATCGTGAAAATCTTGATTTCGGACACCGGCTACTATTGGTTTACATCAATGAGGCAGTTTATGTCAACTAAACGATCAGAAATTATAGAATATTTTACGAAGACGTAATTG